AATGCCTAATAATTATATAAAACACAGACACCGAGACAAGACATGCTGCTAACAAGTCAATGTTGAAGGAGCCTCTTAAATCTCTCTTGTGGTGGGAAATGTGACAAATCCTTTGCTTTTTGCTAAATCTTTAGATTGAAGATTTCTGCTTGGAGAAACAATACTGTACTTTATTCCTAACTATGTTAGATGTTCAGATTAGTAAATTTCCTGTAATTTGGGGGCAATCAGGGTTGATATCTTGTGTTAAATTTGGGATCAACTGTCACAGGTGGAAGATATCAACAGTATCGTACAACTGTATAGCTCTTTTCCTCAATGCTGCTCCTGAGTTGCAGACACTCCTTCTCCAGACTTGTATTTGTTAGGATATAGGTTTAATATTGGGGTACTGTATTTTCCTTGTAGGGTGTAGTAACTTCCACAAGATAGCTAAATGTCACGGTTTCTTGCTAAAATTATGGATTTCACTGTGCTGAACAATCTGTAAAGTTTTCCCACTGACCTCAAAGATCGAAGGCTGTAAAAAACCTGTTGCCGTCAAGTCGATTCCAACTCACAGCGACTCTAAAGGACAGAGAGCCGCCCCCAAGCGTTTGCAGTTTTCAGAGATCTTTATGGAAATGGACTGCCACATCTCCCTCCCATGGAGCGGCTAGTGGGTTCAAATCGCCGACCTTCGGTTACCAGCTGAACGCTTTAACCACTGGGCCACCAGGGCTCTTTTTAAAACACTATATATGTATAGCAATCAGCATTATGCTAGTAAAAATGCCTAAACTTTATTAGTTCTACTCCCTTTTCTTCCTATAGTATACTGGTAAAAGGTCTGACTAAGAAATAAATGAGATCTAATATCCATCTGGACTTTTGTTGCCAGGTGCCATCAAGTTGGTTCCGACTCACAGTGACCCCAAGTACAACAAACCGAAACGCTGCGTGGTCCTGCCCCATCCTCACAATCATTGTTTTGCTTGAGCTCATTGTTGCAGCCACTGTGTCAGTCCATCTCATTGAGGGTCCTCCTCTTTTTTGACGACCCTCTACTTTACCAAGCATGATGTCTTTCTCCAGGGACTGATCCCTCCTGATAACATATCCAAAGTATGTGAGACGTAATTTTGCAATCCTTCCTTCTAAGGAGCATTCTGATTGCACTTCTTCCAAGACAGATTTGTTCTTTTGGCAGTCCATGGTATAGTCAGTATTCTTCGCCAACACCGCAATTCAAAGGCGTCAATTCTTTTTCAGTCTTCCTTATTCATTGTCCAGCTTTCACATGCATGTGAGGCAATTTTGAAAACACCATGGCTTGGGTCAGGCACACCTTAGTCTTCAAGGTGACATCTTTGCTTTTCAACACTTTAAAGGGGTCTTTTGCAGCAGATTTGCCCAATGCAATGCGTGTTTTGATTTCTTGACTGCTGCTTTCATGGGTGTTGATTGTGGATCCAAGTAAAATGAAATCCTTGACAACTTCAGTCTTTTCTCTATCATGATGTTGCTTATTGATCCAGTTGTGAGGATTTCTGTTTTCTTTTGTTGAGGTGTAATCCATCCTGCAGGCTGTGGTCTTTGACCTTCATCACTAAGTGCTTCAAGTCCTCTTCACTTTCAGCACACAAGGTTGTGTCATCTGTATACTGAAGGTTATTAATGAGTCTTCCTCCAATCCTGATGCCCCATTCTTTTTCATACAGTCCAGCTTCTTAGATTATCTGTTCAGCATACAGACTGAAAAAGTATGGTGAAAGGGTACAACCCTGACGCACACCTTTCCTGACTTTAAACCACGCAGTATCCCCTTGTTCTGTTCGAACAACTAACTCTTGTTCTATGTACAGGTTCCTCATAAACGCAATTAAGTGTTCTGGAATTCCTATTCTTTGCAATGTTATCCATAATTTGTTATGATCCACACAGTTCAATGCCTTTGCATAGCCAATAAAACACATCTTTCTGGTATTCTCTGCTTTCAGCCAGGATCCATCTGACATCAGCAATGATCTCTCTCATTCCATGTCTTCTTCTAAATCTGGCTTGAATTTCTGGCAGTTCCCTGTAGATATATTACTGCAGCTGCTTTTGAATGATCTTCAGTAAAATTTTACCTGCATGTGATATTAATGATACTGTTCGATAATTTCCATATTCAGTTGGATCACCTTTCTTAGGAATAGGCATAAATACAGATCTCTTCCAGTTCGTTGGCCAGGTAGCTGTCTTCCAAATTTCTTGGCATAGACGAGTGACCACTTCCAGCGCTGCATCCGTTCGCTGAAACATCTCCATTGATATTCCATCAATTTCTGGAGCCTTGTTTTTCGCCAATGCCTTCAGTGCAAGCTTGGACTTCTTTCTTCAGTACCATCGGTTCCTGATCGTATGCTACCTCCTGAAATGGCTGAATGTTGACCAGTTCTTTTTGGTATAGTGATGGTGTATTCCTTCTATCTTCTTTGAAGACTTCCTGTGTTGTTTAATATTTTCCCCGTAGAATCCTGAAACATGGCAACTTGAGGCTTGGGTTTTTTCTTCAGTTCTCTCAGCTTGAGAAATGTGGAGTGTGTTCTTCCTTTTTGGTTTTCTAACTCCAGGTCTTTGCACATGTCATTATGCAAACGGTTAACACCCTTGGCTGCTAACCAAAAGGTTGGAGGTTTGAGTCTACTGCGATGCCTTGCAAGAAAGGCTTGGCGATCTACTTTTGAAAAATCAGCCATTGAAAACCCTATGGAGCACAGTTCCACTCTGACACACATGGGGTTGCCATGAGTCAGGATTGACTCACTGGCAACTGGTTTATTATTATTTTTTATACATGACAATGCAACAATGGCTCCTGATTGGACCATCTCTGTGGGAAGTGGTTAATACACATCTACAGTTCAGTGAAGGCATGTATGAAGGGCTGGCTTAGCTATTAACCTATCGAGTTCTCTGGTTCTATCCCTGAAGACAGACTGATAGGAAACCAGGGCTGTCAGACTACATGAGGCTGTGCCTTCCCCTCATTAAGATGCACCATTATGATCTCTCCTATTTTCTATCTTTCTTAAATCCTGAGGAAATCTCATCCCACATAAACACTCTCTTGCTTTAGTTCAAGGAAAAATGAACCTCTGCAGAAGAGTTTGTGTTTTCCATTGCAAAAAGCAAAAAGTGCTGCATTTATTCTAGCAGCCAGAAAATTTAGAACTAAATTTGTTGTCCAAGTCCAAGCCTTACTTGCTAACCTGAGTGGTCTCTAACCAGGTACTTCTGTGCTATTTTAACTGAAATGTCTTCATTAAAGGCTTGTATTCTGTAAGTCTCTCCAGGCCCTTTAAAAAGAAGACAGGACATAAATTTCAAAGGTAAAAATACAGTTACAACTGAGTCTAGATAATATACTGTATTTTTTTTCTACTACAAAAAAGAGGTTAAAGATAAATTTAACAGCTATTTTTAAAATGGATATAATTCTACATAGAAAATATGCTAATTTCCCTTCATAATCATGACAAATGAGATCACAGTTATTAAGTATTTACTATGCCATTCAAATGTTGGTTGGTATAAATTACCTACTAGAAAGCCTGTTCAACACAGATGCTGAAAGAACGTAGCCATCTAAACTGGCTCTGGTGCTAGTTCACTGAATACGACATTCATTAAGTCTTTTTACCTTTCAAAGTTACAGTTCTAAAACAGGAAATTATGTTTTAAAAAAAAATTAACTCACGGGTATACTACTGTAGGTTTTCATATTTTCTGGGTATTATATACTTCTTTAAAAATAAAAAACGTGATCTAAGAAACAGATTTTGAGGGAGTATTTTATATTTGTCACAATCCTCACTAATCTAAGAACATATCTATGTAATATTTAAAAGAATTAATAAAATCCAGTGAAACTCATTGAGAATTTACTATCAAAAATATAGAAAACAATGATTGTCCTCTTTTAAACGGCATGCCTGTATTAGTTATAATTCGAAACAGATTCTTTGCCATACGTATCTTAAGATCCAAGATTTCAGTACTATAAATAACATGATTGAAGGATCATGTAACAATGTATATTTTAATGTAGGACTTAGATTTAGAGCAATAAATATCACACAGTGAAAAATTTATCACAAACTAAAGATAATAATAGAAGGAAACAAAAAGCGCATGTACAGATTACCAAGGTCTTCACAATAAATTACAGTACACAATTCCATCACAGCATATTTGTACGCAAAGCTGCTAATGCGAACAATGAAAGAAATCTGTCATTAATCTTGATTTCATAAAGTTTGTACAGTATCAAATAATATCAAAAGTCTAAAAAAACACAATGAGCTTTTATATCATGTTTATAAATTATTGTTTTACATACCATAAAAAAACAAGGTCAAAAGTGCCATTTAAAAAAAAAGTGAAAGTTGTTATTCTTGATAAGAGCTAGAAAAATGTGTGTCCCAAGTAAGAAGCAATCTAAAGGCTTACAGTTTCTTAGGAATTTCCGTTTAACTCCCATACAAACCTTGGTTGCCATATGCTATGAGATAAACCAATACAAAGGGAGATAAGTGATCTCTTTTTACAAAACTTAACAGGCAATGCAAATTTGAAGATGATAAAATTGCAAATAAACATAATCACAGGCCTCTCTCCAAGTGAACTGGATGACTATTTGCTTACTGGAGGGAGCCCTGGTGGCATAGTGTTCAAAGCGCTCGGCTGCTAACCAAAAGCTTGGCGGTTCAAACCCACCAGCCGCTCTGCGGGAGAAAGATGTGGCGGTCTGCTTCCATAAAGTTGACAGCCTTGGAAACCCTGCGGGGCAGTTCTGCTCTGTCCTACAGGGTCGCTGAGACATGAGTTGGAATCAACTCGACGGCAGTGGGCTGCTTCCTGGAATCAATGGGCTGTCACTGGATGTGAGCAAATTGGGGAAATTTCAAAAACTTGCTACAAGTTTATCTTTCTCCAGTTTCTACTTATAACTGGCAACGGTGCAGACACCCCAAGGTTATGAAAATGTTCAGTATAACCAAGACAAAATATGATTAAAAGGTGATAGATCGTATCATCTACTTCTCACAGAAAATAAAGAGCAGGAATCCGGTAATGACAAGGCAGCAGTACAGAAATTAGTAAAGAAAAACCAGATGGATGAAATATAACTCTGGGCCTTAACTGACACTTATCAGAGTAACTAGCTATAATCTGATAAATTCAAGAACAAATGCTTCTATTAAAATATGTGCGGTGCATTAACCACTTGTATTTATGTAACAAACTGAAATGGTAAAATTACTGGCTTGTAAAACAAATTTAGAGAAAAACAGAATAAAAGGAATTTAAAATGTAAAGAAAATCCTTAGTCTGAAGTTTACTGTGGCTCACGCTGATAGAACCATATCGACCAGGAGCAGTGTCCTGTTGCTGGAACTCACAGGCAGCCTGTGGGCCTGCTCAACACCACCTCTCTCCTCCTCAAAGGCTGGGTAACTGGTGCGGGGTTCACATGGTACCACGCAAGGGATGATGATTGTTTTCACTGCATGGAGTAAGTGCCTCGGTCGGTCTAAGAAATACAGACTGCCTGAGGTAATAAAAACTTCACCATCACAGTCTGTCAACAGTAACTGCAGGTCTTCCTGTTTCTGACAGGAGAAAGCAGTACGCATGCTGTGTGGCTGCACCTACTCACTAAATCATCACCACCCCCTTCAGAAGACTAGAAATCGATGGATATGGAGGCTTGTGCAGACTCTTCTCGTCCCCTGACGTAAATTTCGCAGGGAATCTCCTCCATCACTCTGTCTTCTAGGGCCTGTTCAGGGCACTCATGTGCCTGTTTGAAAGTGAAGCTACTTTTTTTGAAGGTACTATTAAATGTTTTCATGGGCTGTGGCTGTGCAAAATCATTTCGGAAAGGAAGCTCCATGGAGCTGAGGTTGGTCCTGCTTTGTTTGACGCTGGACGCCTGCGAGCCGCAGTGATGGTCGTGGACGCACCGCGAAGCGGTGGAGGAGCGTCTTATCTTCTGGTAGTTGTCCAGGTCTTCTGACAGGTCAGCCAGGTCCGCAGACATCTCCTTGTCCCGCAGTGAAAACAGCTCATAATGAGGAGGATCAAACACCTCCTGGAAGCCAGTTTTATTAAAAGCAGTTTTGCAAGCCATGACCTTTTTTCGAGGCTGTTTCACTTGTACTAAAATAGAAATAATGAGGAGGACCAAGACAATCCCTGATGTAATGCCAATAACTGTTCCATGAGTTTTAGTGATTTGTTCAAATAGTCCTGCTTTTTTTTTCTCTGTAGAAAGAGATGAAACATTGAGGTTTTAAAAATTCATTAATATGAGTCTTGTCACAAATCTATATTTTAAGGTAAAGTAAATGCACTGCAGATGATGCAATTTAAAACTGGGTTTTTAAACAAATATAACAACCCCGTTATGATGATTTCTGATTAAAACAACCAATCACGATACAGCTAGACAGAATACAGAAAAGGTAAAGGAGTTGGTTCCTTTACTGAGACATACACAAACGCATGGAACAGGTCTGACCAACCATCCTTTCTAAGTACAGCCACAATATTTCTACTCTGGCCATAAAATGATAAGACTAACCAGACCCCCTGAGAAGTATTATTAAGCTCTACTGTTTTTGGAAGATTACCTGAAAATATGTCAAGTACTCAAGATACAGACGACATCACCTTTTGAATTCTTGGAGGAAAAAAGGCAGACAAACTTTCGTTCTGAGACAATGCTTTGACAACTAGCCTACCGACGTTCGACTACCAGCATGAACCCGTCTTTCTCTCTCAGGAAGTGGAAACGGGGACTACAGCACAGGAGAGCTCAGGAACTGAAAACAAGCACTTCTTAGAGTTGGTCTACCTTTACGTTGTAATGCTGTAGCCATCAGCTGATTTTATTAAATATGTAAATTCCACAGTATTTCCATAAACTTAAAAAGGAAAAATGCTCTAGGCTATTTTAAAAATTATTTTGAGAGCTAAATTGGCTATCTTTGCAACACAAATGACTAACTTGAACAACAATAAAAAAATAAAACAAGGGCAAGAAATAGCACGATGCACTCTGGAACAACTTAGGAAAGAAAAAAAAACTGTGAACCAAAAATGCTTTTCCGGAGAACAAATGGTTTTCTTTGCTTTTATTGACATCCCAGAGAAGGTCTATGAGCCACTTAAGAGAAGAACATCTAGATTATATGTCTCCATTTCTGCCAAAACAGTTATGCTAAGCTCAACTGCAGAAAAAGACATTTTAAATCTTTAATGAAAAGCAACAGCTCCTTTCCTTGCAAACAGGCTGGCCTTCGACTGCACTCACCTTCACAGTGATTCTCATCCCAAGGGTATGCGCAGTTCTGAACACCATTGCAGACCAGGGAATCATTGATGCACATACTGCTGTGGCAGAAGAAAGTGCTGCCTGTGCAGGGAGCTGCAGGGCGAAGGGGAACATGCAGTGAGGGACCCACCTCTGTCTACTGGGCACTTACTATTACATAGGCAATTTCTTGTTTTTTTTTTAATTGTTGTAGTTTAAATGAAGTTTACATTTCAAATTAGTCTCCCATACAAAATTTTACAGTTATGTGACAAGTGCTCACCCCATTCTGTGACAGCACACTCCTCCCTTCCACCTGATTCCCCACGTCCATTCAACCAGCTCCTGACACTCTGCCTTTCCATCTCACCTCTGGACAGAAGCTGCCCCTTTGGTCTCTTGTATCTACTTGACTAAGAGGCACACTCCTCACGACTATCACTTTATGTCCCACAGTCCAGTCCAATCCCTGTCTGAAGTTGGCCTCGGGAACTGTTTTAGTTCTGAGCTGATAGAGAATCCAGGGGCCATACTTTTCGGGTTACCTCCAGTCTCAGTAAGACCATTAAGTCTGGTCTTCTTACTAGAATTTGAGTTCTGCACCCCATCTTTCTGCTGCTCCATCAGGGAATCTCTGTTGTGTTCCCTGTCAGCGCGGTCATTGGTGGTAGCCGGGCACCATCTAGATCTTCTGGTCTCAGGTTGATGAAGTCTCTGGTTTCTGTGGCCCTTTCTGTCTCTTGGGCTAATACCTTCCTTGTGTCTTTGGTGTTCTTCATTCTCCTTTACTACAGGTGGTTGGGACCAATTGATGCATCTTACAGATGGCCACTTGTAAGCTTCTAAGACCCCAGACGCCACTCAGCAAAGTAGGATGCAGAACATTTTAATAAGCTTTATTATGCCAACTGACCCAGATGTCCCCTGAAAGCATGGTCTCCACACCCCTACCCCTGAGACTGTCTCTCAAAGTATTTGACTGTATTCAGTACACAGGCAATTTCGAAGGCCTTCCCATGACTACACTCTGTACTACACAAACGCCGAGACGGGCCTTCCCGTGACTACACTCTGTACTACACGAACGCCGAGACGGGCCTTCCCGTGACTACACTATGTACTACACGAACGCTGAGATACAGGCCTTCCCGTGACTACACTATGTACCACACGAACGCCGGGACGGGCCTTCCCGTGACTACACTATGTACCACACGAACGCCGAGACGGGCCTTCCCGTGACTACACTATGTACCACACGAACGCCGAGACGGGC